TTATTGCTTGAAAACAGAAAATATTCCTAAGTCTCTCTGCATATTATATCCTACACAAGCACACAATTTAGTGTTTGGGCTCGAGGTAACTTATCAGTGTGTCTAGCTGGATTGTGTATTGCAGTCAAAATATTTAAAATGTCTATTCTTGCATTTCAGTATTTCTATTGAGATTGTCTGAATACTTGATTACCTAGATCCTTACTTAAAAAAATTATTGGTTATAGTAAGTAGTCTGTTTTACTTATGTTTGTAAGCTTCAGTAAAAAAACATTCAGTCCCCAAAAAGAAACCTTGTTTTTAATAAATCCAGAATTTGCAGTCTTATTCTATATAATCTAGGTGCAACCAAAATATCATTCCATGCTGCCTAGCAAGTATGTCACTATGTCCAGTCACAATCCCAGACTAACAGTTCTTGAGGTGATTGTGATTCATTTATGGAGCTGCTTTCGTTGAGATAAGTCTGAGTAGCTGATAATTTTGTAAATGTGAGTGGCTGTGCATGGGGTGTGTCTAATGAGGATTTTGATTTGTGAAGTAGCAAAGCCAATGTAATTTCGGTTTTTATGGTTTCTTGAATTGGTTTTTGGAGAATATGCAGTTGCACTCTACAAAAGTCTTCTGCTGAAATTAGTACCTATAAGTCACTGCAAGATTTTTTCCAGAGTGCTTGCTGTGCTTCTTTTCATGTGCTTGTGTTTAGTTCTGTTTGTTGAACTCTGACCCTCAATGCAGTAGCATCATATGGTTACAAAATTACTCCTTTACAAGAGTAAAGAAGAGGGGAAAAAGAAAAATGCATATCATGACAACTTTGGTGAATCTGTGAAGCGTCTTCTAAATGAAGAAAAAAAGTCCAGTCCCATACTTGAGGTGATGAACTTGCACACCAGAGTGCAGACAGAACTGAAGGCAGCTCCTGGTTTAAGTGAACCAGGAAGAGCTCCATTCCAGAAATGCTGTGCTTGCTTCCAGAGCCATGTCAGCATGCTTCACTTTTAAGGCAGCTCAGGAGTGCCAGGGTGTTTGAGACATGGCTGTAAACAGTGTGAGGTTTCAGAGGACGTGTGGGTTTCATGGCATCAGTCCTGAATGGGATGGTGAAAGGCAACCCATGGAAATATCCAATTTCCATGCTGTGCCCATATATTGCTGCCTCTCTGCTTATTCCACGTATATTTCTGTATTTCTTGGTGCACTGTTTGGCTGTCTCTGCATCAGTTAGTACATGAGTGTGGTCAGAATCTTTTTAGTAGTTTCTTGACCATTATTATTGTTAGAGTTTTATTAGATTTTCTAGCACTTGTGTCATAGCATATTTGATGTGTTGTAAGACATCTGGAGTAACTTAGTCATAATTTATTTGGAGAAGCATGTTGAGAGAGACCTTCAGGCTAATTTTGATATCAGCTAGGTTGTAATTTTAATGAGGAAAAAGGGTTATGCCTGTATGTTAGGCTGAGGAAAGCTGTGGCTTGATATCAAACTTCTGTCTGCATTGCCTGGTTTGTTTTTGCACTGCCCCTGTGTGAGAAGTAGCCTAAAGATTTGATGTGGCTTCTCTGTGGGGTGGCATTTTTTTCCAAGATCTGTGTACATGTATAAGTCAGTGTGCTCCCAGAGAAAAACACAAAGGGTTTTTCTGGCATGTGATAGAAATACACAATTTCTTCCTGGAAAACGTACTGCTCTCTCCAGACCCTGAAATGGAAGTTAACCAGTCAAATATTATTCTGGGGAATGTGATTCCCAACCCTACCTGGTTTTTCCTAATGGGTAGTGGTCAAGGTGCTGTAGGAAGCTTTTTGCTGATGTTAGGAGTACCTGCCTCTAGGTCTTGGATGTGATTTGAGAAAATGCTGACTCTCATACCTGAAAATCAAGGGCAGCCTGCTTTGATCATAAAATACTCCACATTTTATAGCTCTTTTGGAAATAACACCTGAGGGCTTGCACATGTTTCCTTGGCAGGTTGTTTGTGTAGTTTCTGCCAGGTTTTACTGCACCTGCAGCAAATCTGTTTGAATGTAGCTGAGTTTAAGACTTTCACTAGACAAGACAGCAAAATGCTTGATAATCGTTTCAGATTGAGACGCCCAATTCTGTTATGTTGAGTAGTCACACTGACTAAATGTAAAATAATGACAAGGCTATTTTTGAAATACACTCAAGATTGTGGACCATCGAGTGCTCTGGTGAGAGCTGTCTCTTGAGTGTCCTTTGGCTTCAGGGTGCCCTTTGAGGAGTTTGTGGCATGTAATGCCACCAGGCTTTGCAAAGGAACTTCAGACAAGATGTTCATTTGATGAACTGCTTCTCTTTCGTGTACAGAACAAGGCAATAGCCTGCAGAAAAAGTCATTGCACAATCACATACTGTCATCATGGCTACACATAAAGGAATCCCAACTATGATCATATGGACAACATTTTCCCATTTCACGACAGAGGACTTCAGTTTTCAGAAAATCAAACTACATTTCTTCTTTCGGGCTGTGCTGGTGGTCAGGCTTGTCTTTTTGTGACAGGAGTTTTCAATTGAAGCACCCACTTCCTGCTGTCCTCTGTTCCTTTAGGAAGAGACAAGTTCACTGTATTATGGGGGAATTCCTTCTTTCCTCCTCTTGTGCAATCCCTGCAGATTTATCTCATATTTGATTAACATCATTGCTTCTGCCAAAAGAAATATTGGTAAATCCAGGATTTGTAAGAACTTTACGGAAGCTGATCATGCTTGGAATACTTAATATGTCCTTGTTCATAATTTAGATTGTTATTATCAATATAGTTGAAGGAGTTGACAGTCACAGATAGAATTCCTATTGGAAAGCTGGGGTATTGCCCTTATGGGGTTTGTCAGCACACACTTTTGCAGAATCATTGTTTTTGGATCATCTGTTTCTTGTTCAGAGTCCATGACTAATTAGCTTATAAAAAAAGTCATTGAGCTTATATCTTATAGAGAAACCTGTGATGTCAGATTTGATCCCCTAATTGCTCTTGTAATTGGCATTTATTGGAGCTCTTTCACAAGTCAGGGCAGCAGACCTCATTTGTTTTATGTAGAATGTTGTAAAAACAATTGAACTGGCAGCTGATTACATTTTTTTATTCAGTAAGCAATTTTGGAAGACTGTGGGCTAGACAGTTGTCTGATTTGCCTAGGTTGTAAAAGTTAAATGTAAAGAGAGATGAATTTTCAGCATATGGCTCTGTTAGCAATTACATGCATTAGTGGTTTAGCTGGTGTATTGTGTCTGCTTTATAAATGTTTATATTGCAGCCTTCTGCTAATAGATATTGATGACAGGCAGTGTTGTGGAGGCCCAGTGTATGGCAGTGATCATTAGTTATGGCCCTCTAATGATCCATCTACGTGTGTTTGGTAGCATATCCAGTTCTAAGCCATGCTCATGGAAATATCAGCTATTCTGTTGTTCCTTAATAATTTAACACAAGGTCGTTGTCAACTGGGATGTAAATGTTTAACATTTTATATTGACCATATTCAAGTTTTAGAACTCTTTAAGCATAAGTGAGCCCGGAAATAAAATTGTGCTCATGCTTACATAAAGCTTGTCTTTATTAATTTTGAAATAATTTTGAATGTTTTCTGATTGCCTAACTATGTGTATAAAGGAAATATGCAGTCTCTTTGTTTTGAAACTACAGAGAGCTCTGTGGTGAAAGGCAACTTTGAAATGTCACACTCTTGTCAAGGAAAAATAATCCATTGACCCTTGTCCATAAAAACTAGTGGAAAAAATTGTACAGTTGTGACAAGTCTCTGGATCTCATGTCTCAAAAGTGTGAAGAATGTGCTAAGTTTGAATTAAACTATGATGGGTGCTTTGACACCAAAATATTTAACTTTTGCCATTTGGCTTCTCTCAAATTCCATACTTTTCTCAGTACACATCAGCTCTGAACAGCATGGGGTTTGTGGAATGATCTCTTCAAGCCACACACACAAAAATGAGCTTTTTTTCAAGAATTTGTCAGTTAGAGACAGTCTTCTGGAATTGTATGCATTAAATTTTTGTAATTGTAACAATGAATGTCTAATATCAATGAAAAGAATAAATGAAGTATTTCTGGTGGCATTCATCCTGAAACCAAAGCATGATTAGCAAGTAATTAACTGTCACTGTTATGCTTTTGCATGACTTCACTGGCTGGATCCCAGAAATACTGTTTTTTGTTGTTTTTTTTTTTCCTAGTGGTGAAAAAGATCAAGGGCTTCTCTTGGATGTTAAGATGGCAGAGTACAAATTCCTGTGACAGGTGTGAAGAATGACCTGTGGACCTTATCCCAGGTGCATAAGCCTGTAGGGCAAGGACTGCTGAGCTTTTCTGTGCCCACAATTCTGTGGTGAACACCTCACTTTTTGCATTGGAAAGCTTGGTTTCTCTGGGGATGTTGATACATTTTTTTTTTTTAACATGCACCTCTTGAGGTCACTGAAGATTGTCCTTTCTGTTTTATTTATCCATGTTTGATAACTTCAGAGAAAATGCATCTGCTTATGAAAACATATTTTATGTTTTTGGGTGAAACAGTGTTTGGGGAAAACGTGCATTTGATGAGATTATTGAACACTTTGTGCCTTTTTAATACACAAGGCCTCTGTACTAGACACGGTAAAATTGCCCAAAGAAGGCACTTAAGTGATTTGTCATAAGATCTTACAGGAGTCTTGGAAATTCTTGGGGACAGTTGTAGTGGATACATCTCCCAGAGAACACATGTCCCCAGAATCCTTACATGTGTTCAGCCCTTGGGAGTTAATTAGTCCTTGGCACTGGCAAATTTTTCCTCTGTGTGTTTAGAAAGGTTCAACTGTACTGCAAATAATCTCTTGGTTCATGTCTGACAAAATTATTAGGCCGGATAAACTTGATGTCCTAAGTATTAGCAATATATGCAAGTATGGATTGCAGATTTAAAAATCATTTCAAGAGTTTGATCTAATGATTGTGATTTCTGAACTTTGACAGGTACCCTCCAGGTGAGATGCAAGACACGTGGAGAGGAGGGAACCACTAGATCAGGTTCAGTAAAAACTTTTTTTTGTTTTACTGTGTATCTACATTTCCTCACATAAATGTGCTTACTAGCATGAACAGCTGATCCCATATATTGATGATCTGATGTGAATAGAAGTAATTTCTGTTTGTTGTTGGAACTGAACTATTACAGGAGGTTTTAGTGTGCTGTTTACACAGGGGAAAATCTGTAAACACCTATGGTCCTTTTTCCATCAGAATGCTTCTGTTGTCACTGCAGGGCACCTGAAACCATAATAATTGTGGAATAGTGAAAGCTAATGCTTATCCTAGGCAAGTGTGGTTAAAATCTTTATATCCAGCACATATCTTCAGACCTAAGTCAATTTTTATTACAAATTCATGGTTCCTTGATGTGCCTTTTCTTGACCATTATTTATCTCACTTTCACAGGCTGATTATTTTATCTGTTGCTTTACTTTTATTTCAGTGCTCGACTGGCTTAGTTCACAGAACGTGCAGATGTAGGTGTCAGTGCTTTAGGTGATGTGTCTTCAGAGTGAGGTTGTCATCATTGCTTTGAGAGAACACGGATCTGCTTTTTTACTGGGTCAGTTTTGTGGGCAAGTGTAGTAATTTAAAAGTTACACTTGTGATCTTCTGTTGGATTTATTCCATTGGTTTCACTTCCATTCAAGTTGTTGCATTCTGGTACAAGGAGCCAGTATCACTGGCCAGGTCAGGTGCATTTTGAAATTAGTAGGATTCTGAGATTTGCTGTAGGATTTGGGTTACTGGTATAAATTACAGGGTGTGTTCTGGGGAGTTGGGAAGGGAAAATCAGTTTTAGAACTTGATGTTTATGTGCTGAAGTAGCTAGGTAGGGATTTGTTCCTGATGAAGTCATAGCAAGACTTAACATAAAACTGATATTTTTGTTACCTGACTTCCTTACAAACCTTTGTAATTAATTTCTCTCAAGAGGAAGCTGAATATTAATCTGTATGGTTTGTTAGAAGACTATGATTGCATTTTTGATCCAAGGCATGTGATTTGATTAAATAAAGGAGTGTGGGGTGAGAGGAGGATGTACTCACATACTCTGCCACGAGCAGTATTAAACAGCATGGGCTGTGCTCTGAGTTGAGACTTACACTGTGCAACATGTGATGATGTTCTGGCACCTGTCAAGCATCACAGCTGATGCTGAAATTTCTTGATTAAAATAGTTCTGAGAAATCAGAAACAGCTAGATGGTCTGATATTCTGCCACAAACTATGAGCTTTGGCTTCTTAGCTTAATGAAAGTCTTATGGAAACAGGTTGCTGGAGTTTTGCAAGTTGTTTTGGGGTTTTAGTGGGATTTTTTTTTCTTTTTTTGGTGCTTGTTTTTAACATAGATAAATCTTGTCTATAAAGAGGTGGTGTTTGAAGGCAGAATTTGGTGTGTCTTCAGCCCTCACGTGGTGTTCCCAGGCATCAGGCTATGTTGGTCTATGGCAGAGTCCAGAAATATGAGTTCTGCAGAATCAGCAGTATACTGAAAGTCATCTCAACTTCAGATCAGGCTCCTAAAGATACATTTCAGCTGTGATTGTTGGAGACAGAGAAATATAAATGGGCTCTTTCTGCTGGTGCTTGTCACATGGTACAGTCACTCTTTGTGTAAGACTCTGTGTGAGCTTCACTTACTTGCCTTTTTTTTTTTTTTTTTTCTGGCTTTTGCCTTTCTGGCTAAGAATAAAGCCTCAAATTTTAGTACTTGCACTGTGAAAATTGTTAGATACATTTTAGTTACAGTAAGCACTCTTCCAGGGTCTTATTTATTGGGACAGAATGAATAGAAAACTGTTGTTTATATCTATATTCCCTGATTACTCTTACTAGCATGCCAAATATCTAATGAAAAACTGCCTTGTGAATTGTTGGTTTATTTATTTATTTCTTGAACAAAGCCTGGTGTGATGATGTGATCTTATGGTTCCATAGGGGTAGGCTAAGATACTGTAAGTAGCATTAATCTGGAGCTCTGTCATGGCATCTTATTCTCACCTGTTGGATAAATGCAAGACTTTGTCTTCCCCACTTCCTCTCTGTCTGTACTGTTAATTTACACAGTAATACTGGAAGCTTATTAGGTTGAAATTGGAAAGGAAATAAATCTGTTACTGAAGTTCATAAAAATATAAGCTCTGTGATTTTTCTCTTTTCCTTTTGCCAAGTGGTGCTTGCATTTACCTAAGGTGAGAACTAAAAAACAGTGGAGCCCATATGGAATGAAAAAGGAAGCTCCCAGTCCCTTCCAGATTCAGATTTTCTCACTATAAGAGAGAACTTTGCTGTAACAGATGTAGTTTTCCATGAGTTATGTCCATCCTTTGGGATGTCTAGGTGTATTAAAGCATCTTTAAGGACAAGGTGGTAAATATCTGACTAGCTTAAAGAATGCCAGCTCCTGATGCTTTTTGAATTGTACTGAAGTTTGGAATAGGCAGTATTCCTTGGCATGGGGAGGATGAGTGTTGATAAGCCTGTGTTCAGAACTTAAATGTTCCTTTCAATGCCAACATATGGATGTCCTTAGATTTAGAGGCAATTTAGTTTTCACAAAGGAAAACCATAAATTACTAACAGTGTACTGAAGTCATTTGCCAACAGCCTCAATTAGCATAACAAAAAAAAAAGCAGAATAAATTCAGGAAGAGCAAGACTGACTTAGCCTTGAATTTTCTGCTGTGTCCCTATTACTGTGCTACAAGGCTTCATTCAGTAGACCTGACAAACTGGAAGCTCAAGATGTTAAAGAATAAATTCCATTTTAATCTCTTTTGGGGAAAAAAAGCCACCAACTTTTGGAATTGAGATAGTAATTAGGCTGGAACAGCATAGATTAGCCCTACTTAATGTGAAATTTAATTAAGCAATGAAATTAACATAGAGTCTGCTCAGCTTGGGGAAAGGTTTGAGTACAGGGATTTTTTGTCAAAAATGTTAATGCAGACTCTGTGCTATAACTTGTTAATTTGACATAACTTTCTTTTTGCAGTTGGTCATCGACTCAAAGATAAGTAGTTTTCCTCTTGGTAGAAAAAAAATGTCAAAACTGGCTTGATTGAACTTTGGTTTCTAGTTAGCAACAACCAGGCAGATAAGACAACATCCCCTCCTTTATTACATTTGAGTTTTCCAGCCCTTTGATTCCTCTTTACTACCTAGGAATGCCAATAGCTGCAGCACAGCTACCGGGCAAGCTTGTTTGGGATTAAGGAATAGTTGGAATCATTTTCCTCACTCTGATTTGAGTCAAGATTCATAAGATGCACAGGACATCTACCTGTTGTGGGGAGGGGAAGGTTCTTGGTGGTGTTCTGATCAATCTTTCACCGTGGTTAAAGGAGGAAAGAAACAAGGCCAGTGCTGGTGGAGCCACACAGGTGCCAGGAAGGCACTGGGCAAGGGGAAGCCCACTTTGTATGGGAGCTGCTGAACTTTTCACTTGAAGAAAGGAGAGGAATGAAGGACTCCAGGATGCAGTGGTCTGGTGCTACCATTTGTGCAGTGGAAAAAAGGTCAAACTGGTAGTTCTTTGGTTTTTATTTTTTTTTTTTTTGTCACAAAGGGGCCCGAGTTGTAGACCAGGTGAAGGTTTGGGGTCAAATCTGGGGATTCTTGTGGGAAAGAGACAGTCCATTGCTGCCTGTTTGCCCTGGCTGCAGCTTTTTGGTGCTGATTGCATCTGCTGAGAAAAGGTTCTCTCAGAGCAGCTGCACAAGAGCTCTTCAGTGCCCTGAGCTCCTCCTGCAAGTGCCAGCCCAGCCTGGGCAGTGGCTGCTGCTGTAGGGCTGGTGGAGCATGGGGTGTTCCCTGTCCTTTATCAGTGAGCAGGGCAGGCTGCTGGGCCATGCTGGCATGTACACCAGCTGGTTTCTTGTCCACTGCCTGACTTTCAGATGACAAATGTGGTGCTGAAAGCACCTTGCTTTGGGAATTAGGAGGGATTAAGTGCCATCCCTTCCTCCCTCAAGAAACCTGAGCCCACAGTGCTGCTTTAGGTGCTTTTTGCTATTTGACTGTGAAGTAGAGGACATGGTACTTTTATTGACAGCTTTTAGGTGTCAGAGCCTCAAGAATCCTTTGAACTTGTGACTTCTCTGTTTTCTGCTGGCACAGTAGGTCTAAACGTGGCAGTAAAGAGTAGTAGTAGCATTTTAAATTGGAAATGTCTTTGGAATGTGGTTTCGGCATCTATTTTTCAAAGGTGGAACACAAGTTCAGATTTGTGTTTCCAGTGATAGACCATTATGAAAGATTGTTCAGTTTATGGATAATATTTTCAAGTTTCTCTTACTGGGTTTTCACTAAGCAGGTTAATGGTGCATGTTACTCAGACAGATTGCAGTGAAACTGCAAAGAGACCCAAAGAGATCTTGTAATCCTTAATTTGCTGTGAAACCGTTTGCATGCTGGTGGCTACAAGAATGAAGTTGGAATTGAAAGGGAAGGAGAGAAAAACTGAGCCCAGCTGGCTGTGCCTTTCCTCAGAAAGTGCCTGCACTCTCTGTACACAGACCATGAACAGAGAAGTGGTGACTGTAATCTTTCTCCTGAGCCTCTTACATGTCCAGTTAGGAAAGGCAAAAGCTATTCTGAAAGTCCAATTTTCTGGTCTGGATTTGAACAATGGGCTGATAGTCCTGACCTCCTTCTTGTCCTGCCTTTTTCTTGGAGGGGAGGGAGCTAGAACCCTTGGGATGTATCTGTTTTAATGCCTGTTGGCTGGGGTGCAAAAACCTGCTGTGCTGTGCTCACAGGACACTGTGGGTGAAGGCTTAACCTGGCACACCTTTTTGGAGAGCCTTTAGGGCACAAGGGGCAGGCAAAGGCCACCTTTGGAGGCATTTGGGGTTTATTTTGCTGGTGCAGATAAATCTGTTCTGCAATGTATTCATTGTACTGTGAATGAAAGAGCGGATGTTTTGATTTGAAAGGGAATCTTGTTTATAATTCTTGTGTATAAGCAAATCATGGGGAGGAAGCCTTACTGG